AAGATACTCAGGAGGATAACCCATAAGGGGACTGTACCCGGTGGGAGTTCTTTGGAAATCTTAATCATGGTCTGCAAAGTGTTCAGAACGTAAGCAATAAATAACTTGTCCCTCTAAAATACCAACACAGCAGCATGACTTTTATCAGTATGCAGTGATTTTACAGGCTGCCACTACATTCATACAGCAATTTGTAGGAGTGAATTGAGAAAATGATCTCCAACATGAAACCCTATACTTACATAATACCTTGCACTTTGTAAGCGCATTCATTTCATGAGAGCTGGCCCTGCTGTAAGTCAGCAGTCATTGTTATAAAGGATACAGGACCAAAATCATGAGTAGCTGGAGTGTGTGTTAGGGAGTTTCTTTAGTATACCCATCACTCAATGCCTGCCTCCCTGAAAGGTAGCAGTGATTAACAAGCTTCTAAAAAAATTAAATAAAATAAGTGTAAAAGGCTGCGCAGATACTAATTTGCTTTTAAACCAGGCATATCTTGTGTAAACCAAACTGAAATAAGGAATATTCACATTTAAATAAACATGACCATATAGGAGTTTGAATTATTTTAATTTAAGAATTCATTAAAGACACAACTTTATAGTTCAAAAAAGCATTGAAGAGCTGAACACTAAACATTCCACTTGAAATTATGTCTTAAAAAAAGTTCATTCTGAGATTCCTTGGTTGGTAAAGGCAGCTCTGGATATCTGTAAACATCTCAGCTATGTTTTCACTCCTGGAATGAATTTTAATCTATCACTTGAAAGAAATTCCTGGATACAATACCAGCTAATAGTTGACCTGTGATGTTTGTATTTCCAAAAATTATTTGCGCAAGATGGAATTTACACTGAATATTACTTTGCTCTAAATTTTGAGGGTATTAACAATAACAACATACAATAAGGCTTCTGCTTAAAAATGTACTTTATAGTAAATAAGCTCCAGAATGTACACGTTATCACAGAATGGATTAACCACTGTAAACATCTTAGAATAAAGAATATTAAAGGATAAATAACAAATCTAACAAAATTAAAGACATTTCTCTTTATACTTGACACGACTACGATAATTTTATATGCTTTCTTAGCTGAGAAAATGACAGGGAACTTCTGAAAAATAAAAGATCCTGTTTCAAATATATATCCTGGGTAATAAAGTGGAAAGAAACAATAAATAAATAAATAATAAAGAAAAAACAATGTGTGAAGTAAGATCACTTCTAAATGACCCAGGACAATTTGTAAAATACTATTGATTCCTTAAAAGGATTTTAATTATACTTTTAATTTACACAGATGCCCACAACATTTATACTGGAGCTGGCAGAAATACTTCAGAGAGTACTTGTTCTCATCCAGGTACATTGCTAGGTAATGGGATTTTGGTCTCATCATCTGACTAATTCTGACATTTCTACTATAGTATGAAATCACTTTTATTTAGAGTAGGATAATACATTACAACATGTAACAATCACTAGTAATGAATGAGAAAGAATGATTCAGTAGCACAATAAATACTATGAGGAGTAAATTCATGAACTATCATGTTCTTACCTCCAGTTTTTGATGGTCATTTCTCAAAATCAGTGATGAGTTCTCACTCCTAAGTAATGCTTTCACAATGAGGGTTAAGCTGTGAATACTTGCCTGGAAGAAGAGAGAAGTGGCTATGATTTACAACTAGGTATGTTGAAGTAGAAAGCTTTGTAGAAATGAGAAGGGTGAAAGAATCCTGAAGTTCTGGGAAATACTGAAAAATGTGAAAGTCAGTGAAGCTGCTCATGTGTGTCATCTTCAGTACACACATCACTGTTTGCAAGACAGCAATACAGCTTTGAAAGAGTAAAGAGCAGATATTTCAAAGAAATACTAATTAACCCTGGAATACTACTGTGGCCACAGGGACAGATTCAGGCTTTCTAAAATTCTGCTGTATCTCCTCTCCTGTCCTGTTATCTTCCAGGAACAACAAAGTCAGAAAACAGGGACTCAGTATCAGAAATTTATCAACTGAGCAAAATGGACCACAGCCTGGTCATTGTTGTAACCTTCAGACAATAGGGGTGTGCTCTGAGGTAGTCTCTCTCTCCTCTGCTTTTTTTGATCAAAAAATCCTTTCTAAACTCTAAAAAACTTTTCAGATTAAAACTTATTTAAAAATTATATACTTATATGTACACCTCCTTACATCTGCTGAATTAGAATTTGTGTATTCATAAGTAACTATTAAAAAAAGGACCATCAATACAAAATAAGTAAAGGGTGTCTTCTCACCATGCTTTGAAATCATAGAACAGTTTGGGTTGAAAGAGACCTTTAAAGGTCATCTAGTCCAACCCCCCTGCAAGCAGCAGGGACATCTTCAACTAGATCAGATTGCTCAGAGCCCCGTCCAACCTGACTTTCAATATTGCCAGGGATGGGGCATCTACCACCTCTCTGGGCAACCTGCGACAGTGTTTCAACACCCTCAACGTGAAAAATTTCTTCCTTATGTCTGGTCTAAATCTACCTTCTTTTAGTTTAAAACCATTGCCCCTTGTCCTGTTGCTACACGCCCTGCTAAAAAGTCTGTCCCATCTTTTCTATAGGCCCCTTTTAAGTACTGGAAAGCTGCAGCAAGGTGTCCCCGGAGCCTCCTTTTCTCCAGGCTGAACAACCCCAACTCTCTCAGCCTGTCCTCATAGGCGAGGTGTTCCATCCCTCTGATCATTTTGGTGGCCCTCCTCTGGACCTGCTCCAACAGGTCCATGTCTTTCCTGTGCTGAGGGCTCCAGAGCCGGACACAGGACTCCAGGTGGGGTCTCAGCAGGGCGGAGTAGAGGGGCAGAATCACCTCCCTTGACCTGCTGGCCACGCTTCTTTAAATGTGGCCCAGGATGTGGTTGTCCTTCTGGGCTGTGAGCGCACATTGCTGGCTCAGGTCCAGCTTTTCATCCACCAGTACCCCCAAGTCCTTCTGGGCAGGGCTGCTCTCAATCACTTCATCCCCCAGCCTGTACTGATACTGCAGGTTGCCCTGACCCAGGTGCAGGACCCTGCCCTTGGCCTTGTTGAACGTCATGAGGTTCACATGGGCCCATTCCTCAAGCTTGTCCAGGTCCCTCTGGATGGCATTCTGTCCCTCAGGCGTGTCAACCGCATCATTTAGCTTGGTGTCGTCTGCAAACTTGCTGAGGGTGCACTCGATCCCACTGTCTATGTCATCGATGAAGATATTAAAGAGTACTGGTCCCAGTACAGACCCCTGAGGGACACCACTTGTCACCGATGTCCATCTGGACATTGATCCACTGACCACTATGGTCTGTATGTGACCATCCAACCAATTCCTCATCCACCCTACAGTCGACCCATCAAATCTATCTCTCTCCAATGTAGAGAGAACTATGTTGTGGGGAACTGTGTCAAAGGCCTTACAGAAGCCCAGACAGATGACATCCATAGCTCTTCCATTGTCTACTGTGATCTTCCCAGGCACAAAGGTAAGGCTGACAGGTCAGTAGTTCCTAGGGCCCTCCTTTCTACCCTTTTTAAAAATGGGTGCAATAGTTCCATTTTTCCAGTCACTGGGGACTTCACCTGACTGCCATGACTCTTCAAATATCACAGAGAGGGGCTTGGCGACTCCATCAGCCAATTTTCTCATGACACTTTGGCTTGGCAACTACATCAGCCAATTTCCTCAGGACTCTTTGGATGCATCTTTTCCCATGCATCAGGTCCCATAGTCTTGTGTATGTTCAGGTTCCTCAGGTGGTCTTGAACTTGATCTTCTCTTACAGTGGGAGGGACTTTGCTCCTGCAGTCCTCATCTTGCAGTCCCTCCTGCAAGTTCTGCAGGATTCCTCCTAAGTTCCAAGTACTTAATTTAAGGATAGTAAAATGCATGTAACTTAGTTCTAAAGAAATTTTAAAATAGCAAGAGAAATTATTTCAAATACTACGGGACTGTTGAGAATTAAGAAAATGCAATGTGTAATCTTAATAGGCATTAGAAACATTGGCTTAAGTTTCTAAAACACAAGGGTATTCTGAATACAAATGGGATTTACTTACTTTTATGATGGTAGGTTTCCATACTCTTAATGAAACATTCACTTGATATATGTCAGATGGGACCAGGGCACAATTAATAGATGCACAGCTGTATGTATCACAGTCCTGTTTAAAAGTCACCAGCATGAATTAATAGGAAGAGACTTTTCACATTACTAAAATAAAAACATGTAAACTACTATATATACAGATCATCAGACTTGCTATGACACCAATACTAAACTGATATTAATTACCGGGGCTTTCTGTGCAGAAATGACTCTGCAGTATATAAAACAATTTGAGATATTAATGCTGTGGTAGAATAGACTCTGGTGTTGCAGGCTTGCTTAGCCTTGAGGAAGCTCCATTACTGTAGGTATGCAGCAAAAGGCATCAGTAGAACGTCTAAAGGAGACACAGCTTGTAACAGCAAATGCTTTTCTGCCAATACAGCTATGGCTTCTCTGCAGTGTTTCTTGATTCTTTCAAATCCTGGGATGCATGAATCTTTCAAGCAGGGCAGCATGTGTGTATGAAAGTTTAAGTATCTTTACACCCCAGTAGCACTTGCTAGCTAGGAGGGCAGCAGAATTATGTTCAACATTTTGGAATCATTTGCGTAGGCTAAACCTTTATTACCTCTGTGAAGGACTAAGATAAGCATGGCAAAATACTCTTCTCATGGCATAGTTTCATTTGCTCCAGAAATTCAACTTGTACCTCTATGCTGAGAAGGTTTTCTCCCCGACATGCCAACATAACTACAGCAGCAAAATTACTTTGCAACTCTTCCATCTAAATATGAGATGCTAACCCTTTCCAAATGGGGTCATCAATTACTTTTCTGCCAGTTGCATGGAAAATCTGTCAGATCAGAGTGCTAGCGTTTCAAAGTATTTTCAACTGGATGTCTAAAAAAAGTTGCAAGGGAGATGACCAGCTTTTAAAATATTACTATTTATTAATTACAATGGGAATATAGATTCTGAAGATTTACTCAGCTGCCAAATGTGCTATTGTTATTGACATTTTTGCTAAATTAAAAAAAACCAAACAACCAACCCCAAATTCAGTTCCATATACAGTTTTGTAGCCAAATAAAAATTATAGCTACTCTACATAAAGACAGTTTTTCAGGCTATTAAGACAAACTGAGTTTCCAAAGGATACAGTCTGAGAGAAGCTTTTATACATTTATTGCACAAGTACTCAGCTCAAAGATCTGGGTTAATACCTGGGATGAATATATATACTATATGTAGGCTTACCATAATTGTATCCTTTGTAGGTTCTTTTATTTTTGGCAACACAAATGGTTTCCCAGTGCTGATCTTTAAGGGATCTACAGGGTAACTAGTTTGGCAGATGGCATTCTGTTAGCAGAAATACAAAGATTATTCTTGTTGCCTGAATATCCAATCTATTACCAAAAAATGTTCTGGAAACAAGCCAACATTAATAATACTTAACAATATGAATAATACTTACTAATTGCTAAATGCAATAAAATGGCATATTGCAAGAGTGAAGAACAGGAAATTCAGATGGTATGGGTATTGAAGTATCATTATTCAAACAACAAATGAGCTTTTTATGAGAGAATTTAACCGAAACTCTATCCAGCTACTTAAACATCTGTAGAAGCAAACACAACTATCCTGCAAGATGACCACTACATGAACCAACAAGTGTTGGTTCATGCAGATAGCTTTTGCACGGGAATACACAGAGGTTCTGCCTTAGCAAGCAGACAGGCAGATTAAGTGCAGGATTCAGGAGCCCCCATTGCAGCGCCCAGGGAGGGGAAGCGGGTGCTGGAGCAATGCTAGACCTCCACGGCTCCTTCAAAGGCAGCTGGAGTGTCTTCAGTGCAGAGGAATTTGTTTTTTTCAGTTGGGTCATTCACTTTCAGATTGCCAGCATGATTGCAAGTCCCCTGCAGTGCACTTCGGCACACGACTATCACGAGGGTGTAGGTGGCAATAGCTGAGTTATGCCCACAGTAAAAGCACAGACTTGTTCAGTTTCCACATAAACTTGGGTCAAATGTGGTGATTGCTGGGGAATGAAAGTAATGAGGGAAGGAGTTTAAAAACAGACACTTTTTTTTTTGTATTCTACACATGAAATACTTTGGGGGTTTTGGATTTTTTTTTTGTTTGTTTTAAAGTGAACCCTGAACTTTCATTTAGGCCATTTGGTTTATTTTTCAGTGGTGCAACATCTCAAAAAGAAGTGAAATATTTGGAGAGAGGTCTACAAGTCTGTGTGTGTCTGAGGGAAAGATTAAAAAAAAAAAAAAAAAGAGGTTTAGGTCACCAATTAGTGATATTTGGAGTTTTCAGACATCCAGTTATTGATATAGTCCTAATTTTTAATATCTACAGATCTGGAATCATGGGACTTGCTGGAATTGTGATCTCCTCCAGCTGCTCTGGAGAATTAAAATGGAAAAACTCAAATGAGGGCTGCAGTGAAAAGCATTTGAAAGTTATGACCTACCATCCCCTTCAAGATGTCTCAGTGCCGCAGAAAAGGAAGAAGCCAGAGGACTGCTAGTGCTGGAGAGCAGACGTGCAGGAAGGCTAATTTCAGTAACAGAAAGAAGAGGACTGAACAGGAGATTGAGCTCTAGATGCACACAGCAGGACTAGAGTATTTGCAATATGCACTGCTGACAATGGAGATAACCTGAGGCTCAGTAGGGAAAATTAAGAAAGAAACTCCTGTCACTCATGTCTCAGTCTGCACCTCTCATCACTTGGCAATATATCGAATTCACCTTGTTATAGTCCAGTTATTGTTCAACACCATTTTAAATTTATTTGTTTCCTTTTAACAAAATTTAGGTCTCTGTCTTCTTATGCACATCTGTACATACTCTTAACATGCCAGCATCTTGTTTTTAGACTAAAAGCAATATCTACCTCAAAGCAAGACATAATCCTAAATGTTTGCATTTTGTGGTTCCTTACAACAAAAATTTCAAATTTAAATTAATCATAAAAATACAAATTCCTAGCTTACTTGGGAATGTGACAATGCAGTAAGGTAGAGAAGAGTGTTCTTGGCTGCTGTTACATTGGGAAATAAAATCTGCAGTGTGAGGTTTGGCATTGGAAAGTGTTCACCTTTTTCAATCTATAAAAAAAAAGAAAAAAAATGTTTTGATAAGTACTTTGCTTATTTTCTTGGTATTTGATTGTGATTTTTTTCTTTCCTGTGTTTTTCATTTCTTCACAGTCAGTTATGCAAAAGTGGTGCGATGAACCCTTACTTTTTCCCCCCCGAGAACAGCCTGTTGTGAATTAGCAGACACATTCTTCTGTGGTCTTTGGTAACACAGTGGTCTATTGAAGGAAATCAAATGAACAGGATGAAGGGGGCCATTTTGACATAAATTCCTTCTTGTCATCTTGTTTACTGCATTCTGTTATTATCTGGGACTTCTACCTAACGTCATTTCATTTCACTTTATAATAAATCCCCCAAAATGCTTTTACATGGGAAAGGAGCCACCGGTGGCTCCTGCCGGTCCCTCCTCAGGTGTGCTAAGGCAACAGCCCTCCTGCTCACCTGCTCCCCTCCCCTGTTCTCCCTGAGAAGATCACAGGACATATCTGTAAGCTGCTGCTCCTTCTGAAAGGGGCTGCTGTGGCCAAAGATGGAGAAAATGCCTAGGTGGAACTGCTGGCAGGGGAACTGGCGATCCCGTCTCTGAAGTGGATGAGCTTAATAAATACTCAAGAACCTGTTTGACTTTCATCTTCTGACTACTCATTTGTGATAAGCTGCTTGCAGAGATGAGTTTTGCTTACAAGAGCATAAATGGTATGCTCTGCATTACATTCAGAAAGCAAAGGTTTTGAAAGGAGATGAATAATGTCTTAAATATCCACAAAAATCTTCAAGATTACTGGATTTGAACTTTTAGACTAAAAAAGTAGCTGAGTAAAAAAAAAATTTGCCATTGCTATTTAGTGAGAATAAGAATTTTCCCATGGCCCATTTTTTACAGACAGAAGTTGATTCAGAGACTTTTATCCTTTGTATATGGGACCCTTGTTCAGCTTTGGATTTGATACTGGGAAACAAGGGTGCTCTCAAGATAGCTAAATTCAGTCCTACTGCAACTTGAGCTGGGCTTCAAGGAAGGAAGACAACATTCCTGGAGCATGGCATTTGCCTTTTTCAGAGCTGACTGGATTTTGGAAATATCTGTTCTAAACTGCAAGGAATGTAGGTGAAGTTCTCATTTACCAGGGCATGCTCTCCTTCCCCTGCTGAGGGTAGAGCTGTGAACCTCACCAGAACTACCCTGCAGGGATAGGCCACTCTGGGAACTTCTGACTCAACTTATTCTGAAGCAATCAAGCAAGAAAAAGGTATTAAACATAAAACACCCATGTAGAAGGTTTAACATATTGCATAGCTGCTGTTTAAGTAAAAGGCTACCACATTAAGTGACTCAAACCAAATGAAAAAAAAGATGAAGCCAGTACATATATCATAAGGTTTTAATTTTTTCTTACCTTATAATGCAGAGTAACTTCATCCCCAATCTGTTCAGTTGTGTTAATAGCAGTAGGGACGGTATCATTTGCTGCAATTATAACATGGTGCTCCTTGAAAACACTGTGAATTAAAAAAAGAAACAAAAATCCCCAATAAGCACACAAACTTTATTAAAACACTAGCAGTTAATAATATAGGTCTTTTCATTACTTCATGAATCCTCCAGGACTAGTCTTGCAATTAACAACAGTGCAATGCCACTTCCACTGAAGTTTAACTCATCCATTTTCTGAGTCGTACTCACTTTTTATTATGTACATTTTAGATGTTTTGTTCAGATAAAACTACAAAATGAGCAAATATTGTTCCAAAAAATAATATATCAGGGCCTGATTTTGCTGTTGTTGTTCTAGCTGTGCAGTCCCTTATTCTGTGTATCGCTGTGTGAAACACACAGGGTCTATAAAAGACAGAACCAAGTAAAAAGAGAACAAAACCAGCAAGTTCTAGATTCAACCTTATTCTCTATGGGACAACAAAAGGCTGGATTTGAACAATGAAATGTATCCAGAAGGAATTTGAGTTAATTATTTACACCTGCACACCATGCAATATAGTCTACTGATAAAGTTTATGATGTTTGTCAGGGATGGAATTTAACTATTAGTTATTTCAGAAAATAAAGTGTACTCTAAGACCTGCATTAAAGTTATATCTGAATTGATAAACTCCCCCCGCCCACGAATCTAAAATTAAGGCTAATTTTTGAAGCTGGAAATCAAACACCGCACCATGCAATATTATAGTGATACAAACTCATGAACACCAGGAAGCTGGAAGTGTTTGCTTTCTTATGTACCTGAAACACCTTTGAATGAATAGAGCAAAGTACAAGAATCAACAAAAGCTGCCGTTGTACTTGTAAACTGCAGATCAAATTTAAATAGATAAAATGGAAATAGAGCAAGATAGGGACAATAACGGCTCCATTATTTCATGTAACTGCTTGTTTCAATGAAGCCTGTGCTTCCTGTTCATGAGCCCTGAAGCTGAAATCTGTAGATACTGAGTACAACTCAACAAACAAACAATACTATATTCTCTTTGAACACCTGCTATTTACTGTCCTAGCAAATAAAAGTACAGAGAAGCATCAATACCTTAGAAATATTAATCCTACTTCATATTTTACTGGAATTGTAACGTGTCCTCTGTTGTCACTCAAGGTCTCAGGTGGTTCTTCACTGTCACTAAAATAAAACAATATATGTCACTCAGATCAGATTGTGCAGATGCAATACGATCACTATGGGAAGGGATCTTAAGAAACTAAAATGCCTACAGCTCTGGGTATGAAAACACACTACTCATTTCCAGTTAATTATTATCTCCCAAAAATAAATGCAAAAGGCTATTGCCAGTAATTAAAGGTTAAGTCCTGCACCGGTCCCAGCTCAGAGATGCATCTTTGTTAAAATTACAGACTGACATTGGACCAAGCAGGGGCCACTACTCATACCATCCCTGGATTTTGCAAGGACAGCAAACACTGAGGGCAAGTGCGTTCCTTTATCACAGATAACTTCTGCAATGCTCTTACTCTTTGAAGGCCAGACCTTTTTGTTTATCATGAACTGTGATTCATGCTAAAGTATGCAGTAATTTTGTAAGAGAATAAACCTCTTCCAAAGGTAAAACTACTGGAAATTATGACTCATTTGTGACTCTCAGGCTCTAGAGACAAACAGCTATTTATTTAGCTCATTTATTTAGCTATTTATTTAGCTCACTCAGTCCACTACTGGACTGAGTACATCTGTAAAGCTGCCAGCTCTACAGATTGTTTAACCACTTCTCAGTTCAGAAAAGTCACCCTTGTTTTACGACAAAACACAAAGCTGTTTCCTTTTCTAAAGAAAAAAAAAATCAGAAGGTAAACAAGTAATGATTGCAACTAACCTTGTTGCATATACATGAACAGTAGCATTTTCCAGGAGATATGATGCATTGAATTGGAATGATATTTTGAAGGAAATCTGTTTGGAGAAATACATTACAAGTTTAAAAGAAAAAAAGAAATAAAAGCACACTAATAAAGTTTGATCTGATGAAACATTGAGCGAATTTCTGCTACTTCTATCTAAGGATTTTTAGCACTTTCCTATGAATGAATCCACTTTTTTGAATTTGTCCCAACGAAGAAGGAAATCTAATAGTTATCGCTTATTAAACAGAAGCCTCAAATTTTCAGAGCTGAGAAGCCTCAGTAAAACTTACTATATAATATATTAGAAATACATAGCTAAGTCATTCTTAATAGAAACCACTGGTCTTGCCAGCAATTTAGCAAAACCATTTTTTTTTCTCTAATGACAAAGAAACAAAGCTTCAAAGTCTGGCAATCACGGTGGAGACGAGCTGTCTATAGAAAGCTGCTGGAATCTCACTTCATATATAGTAGACCACCTAGAATACCGAACAGAAATGTTGCAATGTAAATAAAATGACTACTCACAAAAATTCCTCATTATATCTGTGGCAAATTATATATTATATATAGGGCAAATCTGTCACAATTTGGCACTACACAAGTTTTGGGAACACCGTCCCAAACACATCCCTCTTCATATCCTGACACTTAAGGGTAATTTTATAAGCAGCAGAAGTTTTACTATTCGTTACTGTACCGGATTTTTCAGCCCAGACTTCTGTTTTTCCTTTAATGTGTACAAATCTTTATTACAAAGTGACCCAGAGAAAGTTGTCTTCATATTAAAAAAAAAAAGGAAAAAAAGCCAGGAAGATGCTTTAAAAAGGAATGTATTAGAGATGCTTATCAGTGAATCGGAGATTAATTGATTTCTGAATGCAAAGAAGAGAATGAAATGTCTAAATTTAGGCATCTATAGCTACAGACAAACTAGCAATCAATGCATGAAGGGAAAATGTGAAAAACCCAGTAAAGCTGGGAAGGGAGCACTGGCATTGGGTATGCTTATCTGGCTGCAAGAAAGTAACAGCTGACTTAATTCCTACAAGGCCAAGATACAAGCTGTAGCGTGTATGTGGGAGACAGCATAAGAGGACATCTCTCCTCTGTTATGCATCTGCATCACACGCCTGATATGATGGGACAACAGACAAGAAATTGCCAGGAAAGACAGCTGGTCTTATTTGCATGCAATTTGATATTTCCCAATTCAGTATCAGAACTATTTAAGTCAGGCTTAGATGCATATTTTCCAAGGCTTAGTTTAGCTAAAGCTCCCTCTCTATTCCAGCAGGAGATACAGACTTATCACTGGAGCTGTTCAAGCTGGAGCTCAATTTTAAGTGGACTGCTTGCTGGAAAGGCCTCTCACTCCCCATTGAGCAGATGTGAAGTCTTGATGCTTGGCTTTGGCAGATCTAGGTTGGCATTTCCACGTACCAGCTTATCCTCTTCTCAACCGAATGACTAACTTTTATATACAAAATAGGTGTATGACTTTAGTGAGTCATAGGCTCCAACCTGTGGAAAGCCACAGTATCTAATTTCTTACCAGTATATCCTAACCAGTATCCTATACACCTAGAGACAGACCCTTCTGGCCAGGCATACCACTTGCCTTCTGATAGAGTCAAGGATGGCAATATACACTGTTACCTCCTCACATACCACACTGACTGCCCAGGTACTGAAGATCTGATGTTTTCCTACCTGGCTCAGTGCAGTTCATATCAAAGATAGTTTGGGAAACACACGTGGACAGGTTTTGGGGTGAACACGAGAGAAAATAAATCCAGAGGTGATAGGGACTGCCCTGTCCTTAAAGCAACATGCAGCAAGGAGAACTTGCATGCAGGGGGACTTTTTACCTCTTCTGCAGGTTTTAGAAATGGATATCCCACTTTACAGGTGATGTTGTGATTAGATTCACAGCTATCTTTCTGTATATCCTAAAGGAAAAAAAAAAATGAAATCATGACCTTGTGCAAACCCTTTTTAAATTGTGACTAAGCATCAAGGACCTGGTGAACCACTGCCACTTTTCATCATCAAAACATTGTAAGATTCAAAATCTTAATTGAACTGGAATAAAAATAGGAAGCCACGACTTCTGCAAAACATTTCCACCTATGGATATCTAAATCAGTTAGTAGCCATTATTCCCTTCCAGTGAAAGCCTTTGGAATATTAGCAGTTATTTACAAACTGGACATCATGTAAATTGATCATGGGGTCTAGCAGATCAACATATCTACACATTTTTCACGTGTAACTTTGTAAATGTGTTCCTAACTTGGCAATAAAAGTGACATTCATACTCCATAAATTATTGCCACAGTGTCAGCAAGGGTGCTAGGGATCCCTGACTTCTCCTAATGTGCAACATCAGGACCATTGATAGAAAACACTTGCCACCTGAACTGAATTTGTAGCACAGCTGCTGAGGCAAGCAGAAACACAGCTACTTGGGAAATGTTGTCTGAGGTAGGGATGAGGCAGGCACTGATCTATGCTGCCCTACCAAAACAGTGCTTTTTCTATACACGTGCAAAAGGAGAATTCTATAGAGACTCAGGTGCTGTAATGATGATTAATGAGGCATTTCTGGCTTTATAGATGTACAGATGATTCATGGTGCTGACATGCATCTAAGATGCAGGCACTTACTGTCTAAGTGTCATTGTGAAACTTGTGTCTGTAGCTAACAGAGGCTAGGCAAGGGTCCACTCAGGTCAAAATAAATACACTCTTTTAGAGGGATAAGCGAGGACAGCACTCCCAGGGAATCTCTTCCAATCAACAGAGATGATTCCAGAGCAGTAAAATTCAGGCTTAATAAAAAGGCTTATTCAGATTTCTCTGTCAATATAGGCTATGATAAATGTGATAATGTGAAAAATTCCTACCTCAATGCCAGCAAAAATAATATTTGGAGAATACTGAACCAAAACTCTGGTATTATAGGCACTGTCTTTTTTGTTCTTCACAGAAAGCTGGATGGTGAACTTATCATTGCGTGACTTTACAATGAATGGAGAAGAGCTGTAAAACAAAGTAAGAAAGTTATACATCTTAACCTTTGAATCTGTTTTTAACATAAAGAGGAACTTCTTTTAGTGCCCAGGCTATATAGTTTCTGATTTGGAAATTATGCCACAGCATTATCTTATTAGACTACAGAATTTATAATTGACATAGGAATTTTGTACAGATATCAAGTCATACAATAAACCCAGTGTAGTTACCTGTCTCCAGCTATGCTTGCTTTTACATTCAGAACAAGATCTGAAATGCATTTATTTTTGGCTCCACAATCTTTTGTGAAAGGAATCTGCAACAATAGTATTTTTATTCTCAATTTTATTACATTTATTATTTAGATTAAATATTTGCATCTTAATTAATTATCTAATTTTACATAAGGTCTTCTGTTTGACAGTCAAAGAAGTCTTCTCTAATATTAATCTATATTAATCAGTTAAACGTGCCACTATCCTGTAAAATGCACAGGTGAAACTTTCTACTCATTCCCTTCTAAGTGATTCATCTAGATTAGAAAAAGAGGCAACTGTAGAAGTATGAATGATGCTAAGCACCATCAAAGTATATGACTAACATTCCCCTGCTCTATCTACATAAAAAACTACAATAAAATTGCTTCTAGTCTCTTCTATCTTCGGTTAACTCTAGACAGCTTTAAAACCCCAGGCTGGTTCCCAAGCACACTGAATCAAGCTTTTCAATCCTGAAGACTCATTTAGAGCAAACATCTTCTGGACAGGCTCAGTGACCCTCCCTCTTCAGCCAGTTTATTCAGCTTTTGTGTTGGCTATTAATTTTACCTTAAATACTTTAGTTATTAACACAGAATCTTTCTGACTTACATATTCAGATATAGAATTTGGCAAGTTGCTATCAAGAACAGGTCCACTTTCTGGATCAGAAAAATTGAACTCCAGTAAAACCTTTACAGAGTCCTGAAAATCAGGCTTATCCTAGAACATAAAGAAAACAAAATTGATGCTACGGACATTCACTGTAATATCTAAGGACATTAAAAAAACCCCAACAATGCTGAGGTAAAATATTTTTCAGTCACACTGTCACCAGTCTCGCTAGAGAAGCATTTGAATGCTTGCAATTGATGATAAAGCATTTAATGTGCAAGCCAATCCTTACAAATATCTACTAATGTTTTTGTGTATCTCATCTTTTGTGTATCTCATCATAAAGACATCACATAGTCTGAGCATATCCAACAGTTTCACTTAGGAATGTCTCAGAACAGTCAACTCAAACTTTCCTCTTTTAGTTGTGCTTAACAGATCAGTAAGATCGGTATCACCTTGTGTGAAGTCAAACTGAGGCCTGCTGTTAGGAGATATATTGCATATTCAAGCAAATTCTGGGCATCACTTACCATTAGTTTTGCATTATGATGCAACTGTGAAGTCACTAAGCATTTTAAATATGGGTAGCTTGTCCTATACACCTCCATTCACTCTGCACATTAGTTTCAATCCGGGCAATTACATACTCACAGTTGCTAATTACATTTCTGTTTTGCAGTGAATAAGTATTCTCTATCTGAACCTAATTTGCGAGTTTTTTTACTATATTTTAACAGAAGCAATTGCACCAATACGCAAACTAGACTTCCAGCTCATATACTCCTGCTGAGGGTTGAATGCACCTAAACTACTAACCACACTAGCTGCTCGGTTCCACTGTTATGCCTTTTTTTAAGACAGATACAAACAAAGAGACAAAGTTAAATAGACTGTACATATAAGTAAATAGTTTATATCTATATACATATACAAATATAAAAATCCTAAGTAGTAAACAAATTTTATGTACACTTGTTAAGATTAATTATGGATGCAGATTTTGTTGTCCAATTTAAAACTAACAGAATACATTTGGGTTATTATAATGTCAACATGAGAAAAACACTTTAAATGATTTACTTGCCAACATGTAGAAGCTATGTTTAATACATTCCGACCCTTTGATAGTTATATTTTTTTGCATTTTCCTCTCATGGCTTTCTGTGAACAAGCTTCGAGATATTTGTCGTTGTGCGTCGAGAGTAATCCAATACTGCAGACCTGCAAAGGAAGTTGAGATCAATATTATGAACCAATTTGCCTCTACACATTCTTTTTTCCCCCAGTATCTTAAATGCACTTTGAATAATGGATTTAGAAGAGTTACATTCCATTTGTGGAGAAATAAACAAACGCAAGCATAGCTTTTTCAGAGTGTAGAGATTCCATAGCTTAGTGCTGATCTACTTACTGGATTCAAATATATCTTCCTTCGACTTTAGTCTCGTCTTAAAACAAATTGTGGCATTTATGCATATTGTTTTTCTTTTATTTATCTGACAATTCTGTTGTTGGATATTGATGCTCTTGGGTGCAAATTGCATGGAAACATTTACTTCAGCCACATCACGAGACCTTAAAAAAAAACACAAAGAAAATAGTATTCTTGAAAAGAATAGCAGCAACTTTTTTTAACTTAAGAATGAACTTACAAAATGTGCAACATTCAACACGAAAATAGACATATGCGATGGTCTAGACAAGTATTTAATTATACACTCTATACAAAGTACTAGTATACAACAAATTACTGAAATGGTCACAGGGTTTCTCTGCAATGCTGTACTAGTTTCAGAACAGATACGAGATGAAAGGAAATATTTCCAAAAGCACTTCAGCAACACTATAGAGCCAGTGCCATTTTAAAAGAGATTGAAGGCCCAGACCCATCCTTGAGGGTATCCACAGATGAACATATTATTATAAACCAGCTGGAGCATAGTGTGCTGTCTTTTAGGCTGTGGGTAGATAAACAGGCTGAATTCACTACTGAATTGTTTCACTTTAACTCCTCTTCACCCCTATCCCTGCAATGCATTCCTGTTGTTTTTTTTTTTCTCTGATTGAGTTCACTTTTGGCCTCAAGATGGAGTATGCCGGTGTACTAAACCAGCAGAAAATTTAGCTGGCAAAATACCTTTCTTCAGGTTTGTGATCTAAACAATGCAGTGAAGAGGCATCTCGTTGTGTTCACACAGAGTACTTTTAGAAAGACAAACTACCAGATGAAAGTGAGGAGAAGCTGGCAGCTTGAGGATGGTAGCAAGACCTGACAAACTTGCTCACCTAGCAGGTGAGTTAGGTGGATCACCAGGACAGGGAAAGGAAGGAGATGGCTTATCAATTGCCTTACCAGAGAGAGAAAGTTTTAGTTGTGCTTTAGAAATGAGGGATTATATGTTACCTTGTTTATTTCTCTTACTGGTATTTTTCTCTTCTCCCTTAAAAAAATATATTGCTCATTATGCCAGATGAATCATGCTCTTTTGTAAAGAAAATGAATTCAATGTTAACCAGAAAGTTTAGTTACATTTTTCTGAGATTTTGTGTAGGGACTCAAACTAGAGTTTTCTTATTAGGAAGTCAAATGAGTTTTCTTCATGACCCCTTTATATTTGAACCTGTCCTTGATATTGCTAATAAGACAATATGCAATATAACATGAAAGAGAGAACACTTAGGGGTAGTGTTTGGGTTTCTTTGTTTTTAACTTAGTGCCACAAGTGGAATCAGTTTCTATTTTGAATGTGGTCTAGAAGGACAAGGTCTTCATACTAGGCTAACAAGGTTTATAAAACATTCCTATATTTATTTTATCTATGAAGTTTTATACTCATTCCTCCAGAGAGACACGAAAATATGAAGATTCACAGCCAGTGTCAAAGCGTGAGATGAAACCAGTATCCTCACGCAGTAACGCAAGTTATATCAGTACCCTAAGAAAAATGGTTATTTTGCGGCCCAACAGCTGCTGTGAGTATCCGTACCAGAAGAGGGCAGCCCCACCAAGGCCTCCAATGGTGACATCAATCAGCCCGTCATCGTTTAAATCCATTTCTCCATGCACAGACTGCCCAAAAAATTTCACTTTTTCACCATCTCCACCTGATGCAATACGCTGTGAAAAGCATTAAGAGTTTTATGCAGTCCATATTGAAGGATTTTATAAGAACATTTAAGATGCATTTGTTGGCAGTTAGATGGCTTTTAGATTCTTTGAATACATTAAATTTTCATTACAATACTCCTAAAATGGTTACTATGATAATGAACACACTATAAATTTTCCGAATTGCAAAATATCTGCCTTTCTGGCTGTACAGAATATTTGAGAAGGTTTCTAATAAAAACATGCATATATATTTTCTAACATTATTAGAGTCAAATTCAGTTAAAACACACTGAGTTCCAAAGTACAGAGCATTTTAAAAAAGAAGCCGTCATGACAGGTGAAGTCACAGTTTGATTCTATGTTGGGAAGACACAGGAAAACAGGATTTGTTCCATATACACTTACAGAGGCTGCCAATCTGTAAAGTTTTACTTCATACCTGCGAATATTTTTTACTGATTGTGTTGCCATGGCCATGATAAATATAAACAGCTCCCCGATGATCATCCTCTAAGGGAGAGCCTATTACAATGTCATTATACCCATCAAGGTTGAGATCCTTCACTGCAGCAATCGCAGTCCCGAAGCGTGCGCCACAAGGCTCATTCTTAAGAACTTTGCAGGTGTCCTGTTTTAGCGGTGAACAGCATGTTTGCTTTACAGGTTCGAGACTCATCCAATATTCAAACTTTGTCTGTGAAAGAACAGACTTAGAGTTTGTGAATTTCCATAAACATTTTAGCAACGCAGGCTTTTAAGAGCTCCTGTCCAGAAGACAAACTGATGGATTCAATGAAACAATTACATCCTATTCCTAGTGATTGAGTGCACTGTAAAAACTGTGATTCTGTTACTATAATTCAAATGTTCTTTCTGAGCAGTGGGTGGGAAAGACATTCTCACTCCCTCTCTTTCTGCCACTAGATGCTTCTGCATATTTCTTGAAGTCAAGAGGTTCACAGGAAAGTGTAGTATCATAACAATATTTGGATGTTATTATAAGTAAACCAATTCATTCTTAAGGTAGTGTAAAGAGTCCTTCTAAAGGCATTCTCTTAATCTGAGAAGCAAGCCAAGTTTCTGATGAAACACAGATGGCAATGCTGTTATTCCAGAACAAAGGACAGAATATCTCTTACATAGACTAAATTTTGTCCTCAGTAGTCACATACTCCATAGCCTAACATATATATTCTTCTGGACAGTGTGCATCCTAGACCAAAAACACACATACAGTATGGTATGTAACCAATCTTTCCAAGAGATTGGCCCCATGAATTCCTTGTTAGAGATTAGCAGCAGTATGCAGTTGCTGCATCTCCTTTATCTGGAAATGGCTAAAAGGAAGCACAGGAAAAACAAATTTCAAATCCTCACACTACTGGAGGACATGGAATTCTTGTTTTCTCGCCAACCCTATTCATTAGCAATTTGTTGTTAGCAACATGAATGTAGAAACTCGAAGAGTTCTTTGTCAAATAGATCCAGTCTCGTCAGGTCCTTTTCTTGCAATAATATTTTAGGAGATTATCATTGCTAGGACATATTTTGATAACTCTTATAACAATGCACATTGGTACTGGACTAAAAGAAGAAAAGAAGTAGAAAAAGTATGCACAGACATTGGAAGAAGAAACGTATCAAATTAAGAAGGTGAGGTGTAGCTGGTATATTCCTCAATCTAGTTGTGACGTTTAAAAGCTGTTGGATATATGGGGTTTAGCTTTAGGTTGGTAAGCAAGTCACAAGGACTCCATTAGGAAAAAAGGTGATAAAACAAGAGTTTGAAAAGAAAGTTGTCCAAAATTAACCTGTATTATACTCTCAGTTGTCAAAATCATGTTTCTCTGTTTTTCACAGGTCATCTTCCCCAGCTCAAATTATCATATTTCTTAAAAATAAGGATATGAAGACAGTAAGGAACGTATTCTGTTCCTGGTCAATACAAATCATCCTTACCTTGTTCAGAGCATAAACATATACTTTGCCTTGCTCCTCCTTCTCAGTTCCCATATACATGGGAGCTCCAACAAGAAGAAGGTCTGTAAATGAGTCCCTATCAATGTCAATTGTGGTAATAACACCCCCAAAGTATGACCCAATCTGCAGGAAAAGATAAGGTATAAATCAGAGACAGAGTCAGCAAAATCATGGAACATTTCCTATTCAGTTATGGTTGCTTACAACAATGCCAAATATTAACCATTAGGCAGAAATTTTCTCTGCTACCTAGCAGATCTTTTTGGTCTGTTTGCCTTTGGAGCTCTTTTTCTGTTTTAGGGTTTGTTGTCAGATTTTTTTTTATTTAAGAATGGTCCATTCAGCTTTCAAGCTAAGTCTGAAAGGTACAAATGGTGCCTTCTACTGCCTTCTACCTGCTAGGGGCAGTAGGACTTCTTAAGACAGCAGTAGAATACAACTGTCTTGGGGAAGCTAGTTTTCTCTTCAGTCCCAACAATAATACATAGCAGGAGCAAAATCAATGGTCTTAGGCCTGTCAGGGTAAAAAAGTAGGAATGGTGGACAAAAGCTCTGAGACAACACAGTGCAGGCAGTCTTCAAAATTTCCAAGTTGCCACTAAGTACAGAGGAACAAGATCTACACAAAGAGCTAGATACATTCATAGACTGAGTACAAGGTGTGGTCATTCAGTTCACAGCTAAGCTAGACACCCTGCATTGCCTTTACACTCAACATGAGAAACAGTCCCTTCTAGTGTAAGATGCATCTCATCTCGCAGAAGATGCTTCCAGTAGGCCAGATCCCTCAAACCTTAAAAATACCTCCTTTCTTGCATTGACTCTAAAAGGATTGATTGATTAGCTGAGTTGCAGACATCTGCTATAAATGAAAATTAAGTAACCTGAATTCTCCTGAAAGAAGCTTATACTGCAGCCTGCGGAGACCCAAGTAGGCAGGTCTTTCAACCGTCATGTGCATAATATTGTACCACCATATTTAATGATGTGATTACATGTTGGTTTTTTTTATGCAGGAACAGCTTTCAGTAAGCTGCTACTCAATATAACAAGCAGAGATTCAATATTTCGTGCTATCCCAGCTGATCCTCTTGCACAGAACCTTGCTTGTCACACCCATTTCCTGCCAGTGACATATGCCTTCCACTCAGCAGACAGAGAATAATTGCAACTGCAGAGATGGCTACAACCACTTTGACACTGGTGAAGGTTTAACCTTCAAAGAGAAAATTTCCAAGGGTCTCTGAACAAGAGCATCTACCTAATCTTTCCTAAGATCTTGCCTCATTTGCTCTTCTGATGTAGAGATCTCATTTGAAATCATTATTTCTATTTCTCATGCCATATTCCTCTCATATGTTAATTATGAAAACATACTTACTTGTTCTCCATTTAACCTCTGAAGGACTTGTACCTCTCTTCCCTCCATTTTATAAATGATAACTTGTCCAGTGTGATTGTATCGTGGCTCTCCTGCTATGTACAGTATGCCTCCAGGTGTCAATGCTGAATTCACAGTATATCCTAGGAAGCGGAGAAGAAGTCAAGATGCAGTACGCATAGAATGCATCAGAAATGCTTGCTGTGATTCAGAGCCATTTTAAGGCTTATCCTACAAGTAGATGTTTAGCCCTACTTATGCTAGAGAATAATAGCAGAATTAATTAAAAGGGAAGGATGTATATCAGAGTCATGAGCACCACTGTGTAATTAAACCTGTTCACAGGCCATTCTCACACAGTGTAAGAATATGATGGTACTGATGAACAACTTGTGAACAGCTGGTTGAAAAGAACAGTTATCACTGTCTCACTGTCAAACTGATGGAGTCTTCCAAATGTGATTCTGGGGGCATTCTGAACCTAGCTCTGTTGTATTAATGACAATTTAACCATTTGGGTGAAGGAAGACTTAAACAATTTGCAGATGAATCAAAACTGTGACATGGTTGCAAGTATTATGGAGGATAGGATCTAAATTTAAAAATACTTTACAAAATTTGAGATATTAAAAAAATAGCTAATGGCATTCTGCAAAGACAAACAGTGTGCTTAGGGGAAAAAATGGAATTATTCTAGTGTTGATTCTTCCATCAGTGAAAATGTGGCTTAAATGACATAAAATTGCAAACAGAACCATGAGGTGTAGAAATCAAGACCTAGAGGAGAGAGCAAGGCTGATGCTTTTTGGTAGAAAAGGCTGAGAGGAAAACAATAGCCTGCCAATATGCAAAACATTATTATAAAAATATAAATATAAAAAGATGGTGGTAAATTATTGTTCTTGTCCATTGGGTGACAGAAACCAGCTTAATTTTAAGTAAAGATTTAGACTGAATATTGTATAAAACTTTTTAACTATCAAGGCATAGAAAGACTTGTTAAGAATACTAGAAGAACCTGTGAAATCTTCTCTGAACAGATTAGACATCTCTATTGGGGAAAGTCTAGCTATACTTAGGTCTGTAAGTGTTTGGACTATTTTTTTGACTGTAGAAGTAGTATTTCTTTTTTTTTGAAAGAACAAGAAAATCATACAGTAGACATGTCTATACATTATAAATTTTGCTAGGCTCCTACAACATAAAATAATAATCTGTAAGATAATCTTTATGAATGAGATTTGAAAGAGGTCTTGCAGCATTTGTCGAAAAGTGTTATAAGAAGGGCTATTCCTCTTACCTAGATAGGCTGCAAGGGGTTCGTTTTTTTCTGAAAGCCTGTCACGAAAAGTGTCATTAGTTGGCGTTGAAATACCACTGTCCTTCACCATGAGCACTGTGCCATTCCAGTCATATGCTCCAACAGCTCCAAGCATGATCCAATCCTTATGCAGAGAAAACCAAAAAGCCTGTTCTCTATGTGAACCATCTTTAGACATTCATTCATAATGATGCTCACATTTGGGTGATGCTTTGTGTATACTTACACATTTAGCTCTGCTTTTGCTATTATAATATAACCCCTACAATCATAGTGTATCTCCCACTTTTTGTTAAAAATGCACCCAACTTAAAAAAAAACCTGCACCCAACTTAAAAAAAAAAGGGGGGGGGCATTCAGAAAAAGCAGCAGAATGAAACACAGGTCCTACAACTTCAGCCCACCATAACAGGCCAAATAAAAAGACAAAAGGGATTTAGCAAAGCTAATCAGAGAATACAACACTTAAAAGCATTTCCCTGAAAAACTTTCAGAAGCTTGAACCTTTCTCTGCTGAATCTGTGAGTCTTGTATATTGTGCAAGAGCCTTTGGTCAACGAGAAATGGTTTGCTGACGTTTCTTATGTAAAGGCATGAATGTAGCCTTCTAGGTAAGACAGATACCAGAGACCCTGTGTCTGTCAATGCACCAAGGACTCAAGACCCACTTCTGAAGTGAAGTTCTGATGATAGCAGGTCAGTTGTTTGTGAACTTCAAGAATATGCTCCACCAAATAGATAATCTTATAAATAATCCTCACACTCCCCATCAGGATGATACTTGTTTCTAAGGTATGACACATCACCTGAAATATCATGTGTAATGTAATGCAGAGAGTACTTCTGCAACGAAGTATTTATGATAAATCATACTGAAGGTCTTTTATTCTCTTTTTTACCAGTGATGTGCTGAGCTGTATACAAAAACATGTTGAAGGTTTTCCTATGTATGTCAGTTTGTCTTGGATTGCTCGGTGTTTGTTCAGTTCAGTTACTCTCCTGTTGTGCTCTTTTCCACTGTCGCTACTTTTTCGTACCTTTAAATCTTAACCCTTCCCAGTTCTTTTGATCTCACATTAAATTTTAATTCCATTTGTATACACTGAGCAGATCATCACAATGGATACTTTTTGATTTTTCAAGAATAAATAAAATACATGGGGAGTTATTTCCTGCTAATACAAACCCCAGGATATTTCACAAATACAATGCAATACCAACTTATACGTTAATATTTGGAGTGAAGAGTTTTATAGTTCATAGAATCATAGAATGGTTTGGGTTGGAAAAGACCTTTAAAGATCATTTAGTCCAACACCCCTGCCACGGGCAGGGACATCTTGCACTAGATCAGATTGCTCAAAGTCCCGTCCAACCTGACTTGGAACACTTCCAGGAATGAGGCATCCACTGCTTCTCTGGGCAACCTGTTCCAGTGTCTCACCACCCTCATTGCAAAAAATTTCGTCCTTATATCCAATCTAAAACTACCCTCTTTCAGTTTAAAACCATGCTCCTTGTCCTGTCACTACAGGCCCTGGATAAAGCCCTTCTCTGTCTTTCTTAACATATTATGGACTATTCTCCTGATAGAAAGTGCTATGGGAGCATATACATTTAGAGTTCATGTGAAGAAGGTACTTAGCCTCTTAAGATTTCATTGTTTATAATCATTCTTTACATACAGTTTACAAAAAAAACACCTGGATTACAGGAAACTCCAAAACTTCCAACAGCAAACAGGACTGTACAAAGAATTCTGAAATACTCATTCCAAATTCATGCCACCACCACCAAAAATCTACTTTGGAAAAGAACTTCTATTTTCAAACAGTTTGTTTACCTGTGAATAATGAGCACTGAAACCAGCTTGAGACATTTCCATTTCAAATGAGGCTGCCTGCTGGTCTGTTGTTGCTGTTAAACAGAAAAAATTAAGTTTCAAATATAAATTAGTTTCAACCTAAAAAAAAGTGTGAATCGTGTAATGAAAATGCTCATCTGATAGTAAAGGACAGCATAATTAGATAGAATATGCAGTGAATATAGTTTGCCATAGATTTTTACAATAAATACAGAAATTAAGATCTGTGATAAATGCTACCATTAAGTATGAGAGTTTCCATTTTAAGATCATGTCTCAGAACTTTTCCAAGAAATATTTCTGGGCTAAAACTGACCTCAGGCTGATGGTAAATATGTTTGGAATGTTTGATTAATATGGTTAAGCCATCTTCCACTTGAGCTAAACGAACAATAAAACACCAGCCATGTAACCCTGGCCTTGTATTCAAGCAACTAAAAATTCATAGGCAGCTGGCAGAACTTTAAATGAAAAACACTTGATGTTTGTATGAACCTTTGTAAAAAACAACATAGGAAAATCTCAGCTGTCCAAGATTCATAAGCCTCAGGGAAGGGCTTGGGAACTATAATCCTGCCCAGAAAGTTACATGAAAATCTTCCCGTTTCTCTTGAGTGTCTTTGAATAAAAAAAGGTATCAGGTCATTTACTGCTAGTTTCAGTATCTTGTCAGGTAATCATATGCTAATTATTAAATTCCAATGGGCTGCTTTGCTCCCAGGTACATTTGAAATATCATCAGGGAAGAGAAAGGTCTGCCTCTTCCTCTACTTAAAAGCAATACTCAAGGACTGTTTTGCCACATTATGCACCACAAGGAAGGTAACTAGATTCTACATATTGATTCCTACTTGAGAGCAATATATGGTAACAGGCAGTACAGGGGAGCTATGAAATCTGCTCTGATGCTTGTCCAGGAAGACTTCACAATTTGCTACCAGCTGAGTGCTGAGGCAAACCTCCAGCTATATGAATGAAACAGCCATGGCTGTGTGAATTTCAGGCATCTGGACTATTAAATAATACTAAACTTTTGATACTCAGCAACTAAACCACAGAGGTTGCTCCCTGGGGCATAATGTCTTTGCTAATTGTTGGGATTTATAACCAGCCATAGGAAGTAGCTGTGATCTCAAATGCAAAATGTTTGACATGCAAACATAGTGGCCATCATGTTTCACAAGATGTAGCTGCTTTGCTAAGTCTGAAAAAGTAATTTTTAAGCATAAAAGTCTTAAGCTGCACATTTCCTGATAAACAACATTTTCATGCAGTAAAAGATGCTTCTTAATGAGCTGAGAAAGACAGGACTCTCACAGTCTGAGGCAGAGGACAATGCCAGTACTGTTGGTGCATGCAGCTCTGAATACTGCTTAGATAACAGCCCCCAGTCTAACTTTCCATTGAGTTTCAAACTGCCAAGCATCCTACAAAGGGTATTTTGTGAAAAAACATTTGTGCCTGCCTACGTGTTGGATAAGACATAAAATTGCTGTTAAAACTGGAAGTCCATGCCATGAGACACAGAGGCATATTAAAAGATTATGTGTAAAAATCCACCGGCTGTCAAGAATGGGTTTTTGTTGGATTTGATTTTTCAACTCTCTCTCAATTTTCCTTTGCATTTTTTAAAGGCCAAAACCAAGAAGAAAACAAGAAATCAACAGGAAAAAATCAGTTGTACTACCATACTAGCAAGAGGGTGTTTACATTAGGAATTTAAACAGATTCAGAGACAGAATTTCAAGAACCAAGGTTCCTGTGACCTCCATGTTATGCACAGAAGTTAATTCAGCTACACTGTATGTGGTTAATTAATCTTTTCCACATTGCACACATCCAATAAGCTGGAGTGTCACCAGAAAACTGGGTGGGAAAGAATAAATCTGCTTTTCTGCCCTGCCACAAAAATGCATCCATGGATGCCTAGCTGCAAATCTAGAACAGCTCTTGAAATTCTTTGGGACAGGACACGAAACCGTGCCTGAAGAATGAACAGAAACTGATTTAGTCAGCACCTTCTTACCAACCCACTGGAGCAACTCAACCTTGCTATGTTTTGACAAAAAGCTAAGATCCCATTTTCAGTTTCTATTCTGATTCCCTTGCAGACAGATTACGTGATTTCTGGAATTTTCACAGGTGGAGGAGGTGCATTTCTTATCTCGTATCACAGATGTCTTATACAGAAATCTTAGTGCATCTCTGAGTTCCTGCTG